CTTCCCCAGTATGACCAGTACAAGACGCCCATGGAGAACATCGGCCTGCAGGACTCGCTGCTCTCCCGTTTYGACCTGCTCTTCATTGTTCTGGACCAGATGGACGCCGAGCAGGACAGGGAGATCTCGGACCACGTCCTGCGCATGCACCGCTACCGCAACCCCAACGAGCAGGATGGGGATGGTGAGTCCCTTCCAGTGCTCAGTGCCATCCCTCCTCAGCCAGGTGTCACCCCTTGGTGGCAGCTCTCAGATCTCAGCACCCCTGGCTTGGTTGGGGACTCTTTTTGGTGACTTTAGGAAGTTGCTCCAGAGGTAAAACCCTGTTCTCTGTGACATTCCCCTCTCCAGCCATGCCCCTGGGCAGCACYGTGGAGATGTTGGCTACAGATGACCCTGACTTCGTGCAAGAGGAGGAGCAGGAGCTCCAGGTGTATGAGAAACACGATGACCTCCTTCACGGGCCCAAYCGCCGCAAGTGAGTCCTTCATCCATGGCTGCTGCAGCTCCCTCAGGGTGTCAGCTCTGTGGGCACAGGGCTTTGTCCTTTGAGTGTCCAGGCAATGCTCCAGGTGGTCCATAGGGAGGTAAATGGGTAGGATGCCAAGGAAATTTTGCTCTGGGCTTGATCTCTTATGCCAGGCAGGTGGGGAACATCTGGAGCTGAACTCCCTGCACCCCTGGATGCCTCTAAAGGGGTACAAATGGAGGGGAAGCCCATCCCCACAGCAGATCACRTGTGTGTACATGCATTCCTGCAGGGAGAAGGTTGTCAGCATGGAGTTCATGAGGAAGTACATCCAYGTGGCAAAGATGATCAAGCCGGTGCTGACCGAGGAGGCGGCGAGCTACATCGCCGAGGAGTATTCCCGCCTGCGCAGCCAGAGCCAGATGAACTCAGAYGTGGCCAGGGTGAGCTCCCTCTTGGGCTGATGCCTCATCTCTGGTCCTGGAATTATGAGCCAGACATGGTCAAGGGGATAAAAGGGGGTTACCTTTTGATGAGGATCCTCCATGTGCAATTTGTCGGGTGGAAAATGCCGAAGATGTGCGCGGCGCGTGACGCGTTCACAATTTCTGTAGACTTTGTAGATTAGCTTATCTGACAGATTCCTCAAGAAGAAACTCAGTAGGTGAAGAAATGCCCCCTAGTTCTGGTAACTTCTAGATTCTCCCCCCTTGGATGAGGCTTGAACCCTGTTTACAAWAATATGTCTCAAAGAGCTGGTTTSRGCCTTGGTTTCTGTGGAGAACCAAGGTAGAACAGGGGCCTCAAGCCCTCAGCTTGAATGTTTYTGAATGGCTTTTAGMATGTGTTGTCTTTYTGCCTAGGAAAATACTGAAACCTGAAAATACTGAGCTACAATAGTAGGCTACAAAATTACAAATAATACATGTGCTAAGAGTGCAGAGAATGTATTAAAGTTATATAAAATAAAAAGGCAATCAGGGCCAGGAGGAGGGAAACTGAGGCACATGTTCCCCTCTCTCCTTATGGCTGTTTTCCACCTTGTGATGGATGTGACAGRGTCACACAGGTCACACCTCTCTCCGTCCCCCCAGACCTCCCCCATCACAGCCCGGACCCTGGAGACCCTGATCCGCCTCTCCACGGCCCACGCCAAGGCCAGGATGAGCAAGACTGTGGATCTGCAGGATGCTGAGGCAGCTCTGGAGCTGGTGCAGTTTGCCTACTTCAAAAAGGTGAGGGGAAGGTGTCTTTCCAAGATTGTCCTTGGAAAGGTTGGGTTTTTGTGCAGGCTGAGCACCCTGGGCTGCTGCTGGCACCTTTCCTGGACATAGTGTGGGGTGAGGCCACTGTTGTGGGATCTCAAGTACTTGGGGTTGATCCCTAAAAGCAGTTTGAGTGGAAATGGGTTTGACTTCCTCCTGCCTTTGCCACACAGGTGCTGGAGAAGGAGAAGAAGCGCAAGAAGCCGGTGGAGGATGACTCTGAGACGGAGAAGGAGGAAGATGAGGAGTCACAGCCCAAGGAGGAGCGCAGGACGAGGAGGTGGGAACCAGGGCGAGGGAGTGGGAGAGGCATCGTGCAAAGGGCACCAGCCCCTTCTGAGGTAGTCACAGACCCTGGGGAAATAATTCAGGTTTTGCTCATCCAGGTGGTTTGTGCCACCAGTTTGTGGTAGAGGGACACCACAATTCCATGGATAAGGAATTGCCTGCATGGCCTCATCCAAAGGTGTGAAATGTGGCACAGGGTGCMCAGAGAAGCTGTGGCTGCCCTGGATCCMTGGAAGTGTCCAAGGYYRRGTTGGACAGGGCTTGGAGCACCCTGGGATGGTGAAAGGTGTCCCTGCCCRTGGCAGGGGATGGAACTGGRTGATCCTTAAGGTCCTTTCCAACCCAAACYCTTGGGTKAYCTCTGYTTTCYCCTCTGAGAAGGAAGAAGGCTCGCACGGAGGGTGAGGAGGGCTCCTACGACCCCTACGACTTCAGTGATGCCGAGGAGGAGATGCCACAGGGTGAGTGCCTGGCTTTGGTGACACCTGGCCCTGAGGGTGCTGCTGCCTTCCTTTAGCCCTACTGGGTGTGCACAGCATAAGAAACAACAATGCTGCTATTACCTGTGATCCCTGGCGTGGTGCAGCACCATCCAGAGCCTCATATCCAGGTGGGACAGGGTTAGATGGGATATTGGGAAGAAATTCTTCCCCATAAGGGTGAGGAGGCCCTGGCACAGGGTGCCCAGAGAAGCTGTGGCTGCCCCTGGATCTCTGGAAGTGTCCAAGGTCAGGTTGGACGGGACTTGGAACAACCTGGGATAGTGGAAGTTGTCCCTGCCCATGGCAGGGGGTGGAACAAAAATAATCTTTAATGTTCCATCCATACCAAACCATTCTGGAATTCGACTGCTGATTTATTTTTTTTCCATCCATCTCCCACCTGCTGCAAAAATAACAATACTGGGAGTCAATTTTTCATCACCCCACTGTCCTGAGCCCAGTACTTTTGCTCTCTGGGTGCTTGGCCACCAGGCACAGGKTGAAGGTAACTCTTCCTTCTGCTCCAGTTCAGGCTCACGCTCCGAAAACACCCGAAGCCTCTGGAGCTGGCGATGGGAAGAAGGTGGATTTGGCTGAGCCAAGGTGAGTGGGGCTRTACCTGGGTGTCCACCTCCCCCAGWACCTCCAGGCTGTTGTCCCATGCTGGAGATGCCTCTCTGATGCTCCCAGCTCCMGTTTCTGGCTTTTCCTGCTGCTGAAATGGGGAAGGGCTGAGACATCCTGGGCTGGGAACAAGGGCAAGGATTTATTTGTGATCTCCAAGGGTGATTCCTTCTTCCCTGAACAGGCTGAAAGCATTCAAGGCTGCTCTCCTGGAGGTGTTCAAAGCTTCCCATGCCCAGTCTGTGGGTCTGAAGAGCGTGATGGAATCCATCAACCGTGACAACCCTGAGCCCTTCTCGGCGGCCGAGGTGAAGGTGGCCCTGGCCCACATGCAGGATGACAACCAGATCATGGTGTCTGATGACATTATCTTCTTAATCTGAGCCTCTGGCTGCAGGAGCCCGAGTTCTCATGGACTCTCAGCTTGGAAACTCTGTGTTTGAGCGCTTCATGTGGCTGAGCTGGATTTTGGGGGGCTCAAGTCTCTGCACTTCCTTGCTGTGCGCTGCTGGCACCAAAAAAAAACAGAGCCAGGAGCTCTGGAAGTTCTTGTTGTCTTCAAAGTGGAATGTTYGGGAAGAAGATGGTTTCTGCAAGGAGACCGAAGGAAAAACCTAGGGGCAATTTTTTTATTTTTAATGTATTGTTTTTAGTTTTGGTGGTAAGAGTTCCAGCTTTTAAATAAAAAAATTCTGGTTTTAGGAACCCAACATTTGGTAGTGGTGATGAGCAGTATGAGAGCTCCACTAGTAGTGCAGCTTTTATTTCATCATTTTTTCCCATTTTCCCCTCAATTTGATTGCTTAGATCTGCTTGCCTCACAAGGAAAGGTACCTTTCCTCCTGCTTTCGCCTGGGGTCATGCCCTGGTGATGGCTTTAGAGAAAAGCTGAACACACAGAACAGTCCTGGCTGCTTGTGATCCAGAGTGCTGAAGATTTGGAATTTTTTAATATTTATTTTTCTTTTGTCCTGGTGAGTTTCAGGTTAAGCTTTGCTTTTATCCCTGCCCATCTCCAGMCACCTGCACAGCTCATGCTCCCCTGTTTCTGGATGCCATAGATCTGGGTTTGGGTAATAAAAGTGTCCTTACTCTTCACTCCATGACTGGCTGCTCAGGTGGATGTCGAATTCCCACTTGGGGAGATACAGCTGCAGTTACACAGGTGGGATGGAAGGACTTCAGCTGCCTGGTGAACTCCAAAAGCCACATCTCCGAGCTCCTCTCATCCAACACAGCCGTGACAGCAGGGCTGGAGGGGATTTTGCATGTTTGCAGCCTCCTAAAGGTCACTGGGTGGATGTGTTGTGCTGCAATGGAGTGAGCTCAGACCTACAGGCTGTGTCTGGCTCATGAAACTGCAAAGATTGGTGAAAAGTGAGTGAAACACAGATCCTCTGCRCTGGAGAGGGRATGGGAGAGCTGGGATTGTTCAGCCTGGAGAAGAGAAGGCTCTGGAGAGACCTTGGAGCCCCTTCCAGKGCYTRAAGGGGCTCCAGGAGAGCTGGAGAGGGACTGGGGWCAAGRGATGGAGGGACAGGACACAGGGAATGGSKTCAMACTGCCAGAGGGCAGGGWYRGATGGGATATTGGGAAGGAATTGTTCMCTGGGAGGGTGSKGASRCCCTGGCACAGGGTGCCCAGAGAAGCTGTGGCTGCCCCTGGATCCCTGGAARTGTCCAARGCCAGGYTGGACRGGGCTTGGAGCACCCTGGGAYAGTGGAAGGTGTCCCTGYSCATTCWGCAATTCYATGATTTTGTGTTTTTCCTGCCYTTTCAGCTGGGGAGCCACTAACCCTGAATTCCCATCGCAGGACACCAGGAGGAGCTCCAGGGTAGAGAAATCTGATTATTTCCCTGTCCTGTAGCTCGGGGCTATAGGATGTGGCTGGCTACCTCCCCTGTGTGCTGGTGGCCACCTCGGTCCATCCTTTGCCWTTGGGAGAGGGGTCTTTGCTAACAAGGAGAAAACAACTCCCAGAGGTGGAGGGATTTGTGGGGATCAGCTGAATCTGACCCTGTGARACCACCTGAGGGATCACCCAGTGCTTGGATGCTTGACCATGAAGGCAGCAAAGCTATAAATTTTATATATATTAAAAAATATTTATGCATGATATAATATTTGTGTATTATATATTTTGATTTTAGGCTCCTCGTGAAAAGAGAGCCCTGGAGGGGCTGGAGTGAGTCCAGGGAAGGGAATGGAGCTGGGGAAGGGGCTGGAGCACCAGGAGAGGCTGAGGGAGCTGGGAAAGGGGCTCAGCCTGGAGAAAAGGGGGATCAGGGGAGACCTTGTGGCTCTGCACAACTCCCTGACAGGAGGGGGCAGCCGGGGGGGGGTGTTGGACCCTGCTCCCAAGTGAAAAGGTAGCACCTGTTACCTGTTAATATTTATATATTATTATCCACTATCAAATTTATTTCCAGGCTTTGTTCTTGCTGATGGAAAAACCCTGAAAATTCTACGGTGGGTGAAAATGGTGATGGGGTTTGTGCTACTTAAAACTAAAAGGGAGGAGACAATAGGATGGGGACTATAATTCTCAAGAAACCTGATTGATATTTGGGACTCAGTAGAGAAGATCCCATGGGAAGTGTGTGACCTGTGCTCAGTGGCACTATGCTCCTTTTGAGATTAAAGATCACAGGGAATAGAAGTAACCATTCAGGGAACTCAACACAGGCAACTAAAACATTAGTCTGGAATGTTCTGTCACCATCTCTTAGCTGTATCCCCAATGATTTCCCAGACCATGGGCAGGGACACCTTCCACTGTCCCAGGTTACTCCAAGCCCYRTCCAGCCTGGCCTTGGACACTTCCAGGGATCCAGGGGCAGCCACAGCTTCTCTGGGCTTTTTGCATGGTCTTTGAGGCTCTTTCCAACCCGAACCATCCCATGATTCTATGATCTGTGAAAACCTGACCCTAAGTGTGTAACATATCCTGTAAACAGTGCTGTTTCCTGATAGGAACTCAAGAGTAGAAGAGTTATTTTAAGCAGAATTAAAATCCTCACTTCTATTTCTAAGTAAGCAGAATTAAAATCCTCTCTTTTATTTCCAAGTGCCCATCCCTGCTCCAACCCCTTGATATGTGAGAGGGAAAAACTTTTTGAGATAATTTTATATTCCTATATGTGAGGAAAAAAAAATCTCTGTGAGAGTGGTGAGACCCTGGCATAGGGTGCCTAGAGAAGCTGTGGATGCTCCTGGATTCCTGGAAGTGCCCAAGAAGAGAGTTTGGAGCAATCTGGAGCAATCCCCATGGCAGGGGATTGAAACAAGATGAGCTTGACTGTCCCGTCCCACCTAAACCATTCTGTGATTCTATGAATAAAAGTATTTTTCCTCCCTTGCACTGATTCATATTTAGTGCCCTCTTTTCGTTTAAATTTTATAGCGAGCTTCAACTCAAGACAAGTTCAGCTGTAGGAAATTCTGGGTCAAAGAGGGAATCCCTGCTGAAGTCCCAAGCTGCTGAAGGCACAAGAAGCGAGTGGAAAGCCGTGGTGGGGGTACAGAGCCTGGTGTTCAGCGTGGTAATGTCATCGCTTTGTCACACGTCACCGTTTCCACCTGACCCTGTTCCTGCACAATCCAACCCATTTTCATGGCAGCGCCCTTTCCTTTCACGGTGAGCSCTCAGGGGGAAAAAAAGCRGGTCAGTTTGTGRGCTAAAAACGTGGATTTCTGGTAAKTGTACCCCCTCGCGCTCTTCCAYACTTMGTGGCGYATCTCTGTAGATGCRCTGATGAAAATGTGGACAGTCARAATAGGARCGTGTKTCACAGTMCTGSTGTTGCCTCAGGTGAACCTGGTAGCCTGAAATGTGACAAATTTTGTGACAAAAAAAGTAAAAAATACGTGGGGGGAGTCGCTGGGCTCTGAGCTGTCGGTTGAACCAGACCACAAAATCACGACAACATCCTGCAGTGATGTAAAGCATCAGTCGATGGAGATTTCTGCTGGGGTTACTCAAGAGGGGTGACAGAGCAGGGACTGGATTAGTCCCTTCTTCTTGGAAAGTTCTATGAGTTTGTAAGAGGTTTCTGATTTCTGTAGGACTGAAAATGTCATTAATCTGTTGATTTTGTGGAGTATTGAAGATGAATTTGTGTGAAGAGTACTACACTTCAGTGCTCTGCTTCCASCTTGGCTACATTTCTTTGGGAAAAGTTTCTCTCAGGGCTTTYCTCCACAGAAAAGCTGGTCAAATTGGTTATATGGGGTTTATTTTCTGCCATAAAAATGGTTTTTTCCTCCCAAAGAGACCCCTGCTTGTGCTCCAGGGGAAACAACACATGCACTGATCTTTTCCCTGTAATTGGTGGCTGGTCCTTTCTGGATCACAGGATGCAGAGTTCTGTTTCCACTTCTGTTTTCTTGCCTCTCTCTCCTATTAATTATTAAGTGGGGATTGTGTGATTRAGAGGGATTAAATCTTCAATGAGCACAAAGRAGCAGGAGCAGGTGGAGGAATCCARATGAAACTCCTGACCCAGCTCTKCCAGGGCTGTCCAAGGTCAGCCCAAGTCCCACCGTGTCCCATGTGAGTCCCACAGGACAARTCAGTGGGAGAGGCTTTCCTCACATCACCTTGCTGGCTACAGGGCTGTGGGATTTATTAGAGTGTTTTGGGATTGTGCCAGACCTATGGGATGTGCAGGAGCAGAAGCAAAATGTGCAAAGGAAAGGGTAAAGGTGGATCCGTGAGGAGCAGTGGCAGTGCTAAAGGCATCAGGCTGGACCAGCTCCAGGTTATTCCATAAATCTGGGCAGGATGCTGGRTCAGAGACTGCAAATTCACTACTGGGAGGTCTGGGGCAGCTGCTGGAGAGATTGTGGGGTCTGTGAGTTGGCTGCTGGTAAGGATGTGGATTTGGAGGAGCTGTTGGGGTGGTCCACGGTGTGTTTGAGTCTGTGTGTGAAGCAGTGGGGACACTGGGGCATCCAGGGGCAGCTGCTGGAGAGATCCAGAGGAGGAGTCACYGTCCCTGGAGGTGTTTAAAACTGGATGTGGCACTCAGTGAAAYGGTTCTGGGCTGGTGAYGAGGTGGGGATGGGTCACAGGTTGGACTCGATGATCTYTGGGATTTTTCCCARCYTGATTCTGTGATTCTACAMATGTATCCACASTCCCAGTCTCTTGGCAGGATCCAATTTTTCCAGAGGGAGTCCTGCACTCCCCGATGTCCCACACTTGCCCCCTCACTGCTGCTGTGCCATCACCATCTACAGGCACTGTGCTGGTGGGAGGCACACAGCCCTTTCAGGCACTTTAAAATAAGGAAAAGAAATGTTTAAAAATACTTTGTATTTTCTCCAGCTCCTCTGGCACTCAGAGGAGAGTTAGGAWAAAGGGAATATGGTGTCACCATAGGGATTGTCACAGAGAGGTTGAAAAAGATCCCCAAGATCCTCGAGTCCAGCCTGTGACCGATCCCCACCTTGTCACCAGCACAGAGCTCTGAGTGCCACATCCAGTTATTTCCTAAACACGTTTAGGGATAGCAACTCCACCACCTCCCTGGGCAGCCCCTTCCAGTGCCTGACCACCCTTTCCATGAGGAAATTCCTCCTGAGGTCCAGCCTGAACCTATCCTGGTGCAGTTTGAGGTTCTGTCCTCTCCTCATGTCCCTGTTCCCTGGGAGCAGAGCCTGACCCCCCGGCTGTCCCCTCCTGTCAGGGAGTTGTGCAGAGCCACAAGGTCCCCTCTGAGCCTCCTTTTCTCCAGTCTGAGCCCCTTTCCCAGCTCCCTCAGCCTCTCCTGGTGCTCCAGCCCCTTCCCCAGCTCCGTTCCCTGCCATGTATATCCAAAGATCCATCCAGAAAAATTCTGTCCCAAGTCCCACCCAGTTTACAGACCAAACCAGTGTTCCAACAGCACAGCTCAGGCAGGGACTGGGGGTCAAAGCTGAGCTGGAATGGAGCTCCTGGTGGTGATGGCCAAGGGCAGTGAAGGTGATCAGTGCCCTCAGTGCCCTCACAGGACATGTGTGAGTGTTGAGAATTGTCCACATTGTGTCCCCACAGTGGGGAAATGCATCCCAGCTCCTGGTGCCCTCACATCTCCCAGGAGGAGCTCCCC